CAAGATTTAGAGACAGATTTCCTTCTACAACTAAGTGGTAGCCAAGCTTATAAAGTGGTTAACACCAAAACTTTCTTTAACAAAAGTTGTTTGATATTTAAAATTAGCTTATAATGACTACGTGTAGAAAATGTTAAATATTTTTTTAGCAACCAAGATTCGCTGATGCACTGATGTTGCAAGTGCAATGTTTAACTCATGTTTACATCAGAAATCAAATCTGCTCACTCTTTAGAATAAGTAAACTTAACAGTTTTCTTCTAAAACAGTTCAAACATACATTCATAATGTATTAGTAACTACAAATATGTACTATTTGACATGTGATAATCATACATTCAAATCAAAATCAAAGATGAATAAAAAATTTTAAACGTTATAATTATGATTCCAACATTTATCACGCCATTCAAAAACTAGTGTAGCAATCACATATTTATTTATTTTGTTTTTTTTGTTTTTTAAATCAAGCCAGATTCTTCTAGGATTCAATATTATGTAAGATATAAATAAAACCATCAAAGTTTAATTTATTGCAAATAGGGAAAAAGGTGAGAGGGGGGCTGACTTCTTGTTGGTTATCTGAATCACCACAGATTTCTGCATAGATTACGTGTTGCTAGCTGAATGCACATCACTTGATGCACTGGAGGTCATGTTGTAGCCATCTAAAAAAAACCAAACAAACAAAAAAAGCAAAGCAATAATAGAACAGTTATTCTGTGTTGTGTGAATTTAAAAAAAAAAATACAACAGTAGGAACAGTACTACACCAGGAAGCTGTAGTTTTGGTGGCAGTTAAAATAATTGTATGAATAAAAATGTTTAAAAAATGACATTTTGTATCTGTTGATGCGCCACCCATCTAATTATTATTTTCCCGGTTGGACTGCCTGATCAAAGTACAAGCACACCTAAAAACACACAGTTTTCACTTCATTTTTATATGGAACCTTAATTGATTAATTTCCTTGATGATTCTTTACCTCTTCCACGTCTCCAGTTCCTTAAAAATCGAAGTCCACTTGATGTTGAGTTTCCAGCACTTGTGCTCTAAAAAAACAAAATAAAAAGAAATCATACAATATTAACAAGAAGCAAATTATCGGTGATTCATAAGAAAGGAAAAAAACAAGGAACATGAAGCCCATGACTAGGAAACCTGTTCTTACCCCTGTCCTACTTCTGGAGGTTTGTGACCATGATGCTATTGCTGACCGCACCTGATAAATGAAATGTCAAATGTTAGATTACTAAAATGGAAGTCACATAAATTTGTTCTTAAAATGTAATTTATTCATGTGGCCAAGCCAAACACTACAAGCAAACCATCTTGTATTTTTGCACTTCTGTGAAGATGTTCATTGTGCTGTTTTGTGTGCTTGTGTGGAATGCGACCACATACACATAACTGTTAGTTATTGAAGTGTGGGCCTGTCTCCTACTTTCATCCTCAAGTCTGAGTAGTCATTTGAATGGACTTACAGAGAAACCAAGAAGTCTCAAGAAATGTAAAGGCGGAAGTTTGACTTGACAAAGGACGATTTTAGTGTAATATTATTACAATTTATAGTCTTTTGTCAGTAAAGATCAGGAGACAATTACTACATTTCTTTCCAGTACACACTTGGTTGTTAAACCAAATTGATATCATTTACCTTTAATTTTTAAGTAATTCAGGAATAATCATATATTCATTCGTAAACATCATTCATATATAAATTATTATTTTTCTTTGAATTAACCTGCACTAAAATTGAGCTGTACGTACCTTACCGTCCAGCAGTGTTCCAAATACCAAAATAAAGAAACCCTTTTTAAAAACAGAGTAACATGAGTTATTAAGGATTTAGTGATTAAAGATGCTACTATCATGGTATACAGATAGGGGGGGGGGAAATGAATTTGTACCTGTAGCGAATTGAAGAATGCAAATGCAATATGGATTCCTTCATTTGTTGGATCAGCCAGAATTCCAGCTCCCAAACCCCAAGTTATGCCAAAAAATGGTGTGAGCACAGCCAAG